ATACTGAAGGATTCTACAGGGAAAATATTAAACGACGCAGGATGCATCGAAAGAAGTTGGAAGGAATACACAGAGTCACTATACCAAAAAGAACTGGTCGACATTTAACCATTTCAGGAGATAGCATATGATCAAGAACTGACGGTACTGAAGGAAGCAGTCCAAGTTGCACTGAGGGCATTGGCGAAATATAAGACTCCAGGAATTGACAGAATACCAGTTGAGATGTTTCAACAAATGGATGCAGCACTGGAAGTGCTCACTCATCTATGCCAAGAAATTTGGAAGACAGCTACCTGGCCAACCGACTGGAAGAGATCTATATTTATGCCTATTCCCAAGAAAGGTGATCCAACTGAATGTGGAAATTATCGAACAATATCATTAATACCACACGCAAGTAAAATTTTGCTGAAGATCATTCAAATGCAGCTGTAGCAGTATATCTACAGGGAACTGCCAGAAATTCAAGCCAGATTTAGAAGAGGACATGGAATGAGGGATATCATTGCTGATGTCAGATGGATCTTGGCTGAAATCAGAGAATGCCAAGATGTTTACTGTGTTTTATTGACTATGCAAAGACATTCGACTGTGTGGATCATAACAAATTATGGATAATATTGCAAAGAATGGGAATTCCAGGACACTTAATTGTACTCATGAGGAGCCTGTACACAGATCAAGAGGCAGTCGTTCGAACAGAACAAGGGGATACTGCGTGCTTTAAAGTCAAGAAGGGTGTGCATCAGGGTTGTATCCTTTCACCATACCTGTTCAATCTGTATGCTGAGCAGATAATCTGAGAAGCTGGACTATATGAAGAAGAAAGTGGTGTCAGGTTTGGAGGAAGACTCGTTAACAACCTGCAGTATGCAGGTGACACAACCTTGCATGCTGAAGGTGAATAGGACTTGAAGCACTTACTGATAAAGATCAGAGATCACAGCCTTCAGCATGGATTACTCTTCAACATAAAGAAAACAAAAATCCTCACAACTGGACCAGTAAGCAACATCATGATGTACGGAGAAAAGATTGAAGTTGTCAAGGATTTCATCTTACTTGGATCCACAATCAACACTCATGGAAATAGCAGTCAGGAAATCAAAAGACACATTGCATTGGGCAAATCTGCTGCAAAAGACCTCTTAAAAGCGTTGAAAAACAAAGATGTCACCTTGAAAACTAAGGTGTGCCTGACCCACCTTAAAGACTAAGGTGCACCTGACCCAAGCCATGGTGTTTTCAGTTGCCTCATATGCATGTGAAAGCTGGACACTGAATAAGCAAGACCGAAGAAGAATTGACGCCTTTGAATTGTGGTGTTGGAGAAGAATAATGAATGTACCATAGACTGCCAAAAGAATGAACAAATCTGTCTTGGAAGAAGTACAACCAGAATGCTCCTTAGAAGCAAGGATGGCAAGACTACATCTCACATATTTTGGACATGTTGTCAGGAGGGATCAGTCTCTGGAGAAGGCCATCATACTTGGTAAGGTAGAGGGTCAGTGAGATGGATTGACACAGTGGCTGCAGCAATGGACTTAAGCATAACAACGATTGTGAGGACGGCACAGGACCAGGCAGTGTTTCATTCTGTTGTACGTAGGGTTGCTATGAGTCAGAATCAACTCAACAGCACCTAACAACAACAATAAATGAATTCAGGAAAGTTGCAGAATATATCAACTAACAAAAATTAGTTGTATTTCTGTACACTACCAGGGAACAATCCAAAAAGAAATTAGAAAACAATTCCATTAACATAGTATCCAAAAGCTTACAATACCTAGAAATAAATTTAACCAAGGAGGTTGTAAGACTTGTACACTAGAAACTACAAAACATTTCTGAAATGAAGAAGACTTAAATTAGTGGAAAGACATCTCACATTCATAGATTGAAAGACTTAATATTGTTAAGACGGCAGTACTAGTTCAAAGCAGTCTACAGATTCAATGCAACCTCTTTCAGAATTCCAGGGGCTTTTTTTGCAAAAATGGAAAAGCTGATCCTCAAATTTATGTGGAATTGCAAGGGGCCCCTGGTAGCCCGACAGTACTGATGGCCAGTCAATTTTGGAAGAGTGTGCCAAGACCATTCATTGGCAAGAGAATAGTCTGAAACAAATGCTGCTGGGATAGCTTGATCTCTACTTGCAAGAGAATGAAGTTGGATCCCTACCTTTCACCATATACATAAATTAACTAAAAATAAATCAATGGCATAAATATAAGAGCTAAAACTGTAAAACTCTTAGAAGAAAACATAGCAAATCTTCATAACCTTAGATTTGGCAATGAATTCTTAGATATGACACCAAAAGCATGAGCAGCAAAAGAAAAAAATAGATAAATTAGACTTTGTCAAAATTAAAAACTTTCGTGCATCAGAGGAGATTATGAAGAAAGTGAAAAGACAACCTAGAGAATTCGAGAAAATATATCTGATAAGGCGCTAATGTCCAGAATACATAAAGAACTCATAACTTCAACAACAACGGAAAACCTTTAGAAATGGTCGAAGAACATGAATAGACATTTCTCCAAAGAAGATGTATAATTGGCCAATACCCACATCAAAAGATGTTCAACCTAGTGCGCTCTGACTCATGGTAACCCTGTAAGTACGGCTGTGCTCCATAGGGTTTTCAGTGGCTGATTTTTTTTTTTTTTTTTCTAAGTAGATCCCCAGACCTTTCTTCTTAGGTGCCTTTGGGTGGACTGAAACCTCCAACCCTTCGGTTAGCAGCCAAGCATGTTAACCGTTTACAGCAAAGTCACTCCTAAGGACTCACCCTGAAAGCAAGTATTCACACAAATGCTTGTACACAAATGGTCACAGCAGCATCATTCACCAAATAGCAGAAACAACTCAAATATCTATCAACTGATGAGTGGATAAACCAACTGTGGTGTCGCCAGACAATGGGTGATCATTATGCCCTAGGAAGGAGTGAAGTACCGACACATGCTTCAGTGTGGAGGAACCCCATGAACATTATGCTGAGTGAAGAAGCCAGGAAGAAAAGGTCACATGTTGTATGATTCTATTTATATGAAATGTCTAGAATGCATACATCCACAGAGACAGAAAGCACATTGATGGTGGCCAGGGTCTGGGGAAGGGAGGAGTGGGGAATGACTGCTTAATGGGTCTAGGCTTTTCCTTTTTGGGTGATGGAAATGTTTGGGAACTTGATAGCGGTGATGGCTGCACAGCATTGTGCACGTGCAGATGGCCACTGACTTGCACACTTTGAGTCGGAGTTCGACTCAATGGCAACAGTTTTGTGTTTGGTTTTTTTTTTTTGTACTCCTTAAAATGGTTAATCTTATGTGGACTTCACCTTAATTTAAAAAAAAAAACAAACCAAAGCATCAAAAAATCATTGAAAACCATTAGGTAGTGTAATAAACTGAAATGGGAGTTTTTCTTACCTGTTAAGTTTGAGGCAGGGACTGGGCTACCATGGTTGCTGCCCTTTCCGAGTGGAACTGCGGTTTATTTCTCAGTACCTTTACGATACTCGCTGGCAGACAGGAAACTAAGAGTGGGTGACGGCAGTGGGAGTCCATCCTGACTCATGGCGACCCTGTAGGACAGAGTGGAACTGCCCCCTAGGGCTTCTGAGGCTGTAAATCTTTCAGAAGGAGACTGCCAAGTCTTTCTCTCACGGAGCGGATGGTGGTTTGGAACCGTCAGCCTTTCAGTTAGCAGTCGGTCTGTTTAACCACCATGCCACCTGGGCTCCTGGTGATGGCAGTAAGGGATATTAAGTATAGGTGGGAGGATGACAGTACATGTTGAGAGGAATCTGTTGTTCCCACTTAAGGGCATAGTCTCAAATGTACTCGGTAACTTTCTGATTGAGGTCTTTCCCCCTCCTGTCTTTCAAGCCAATGTGGTCTCTCTGCTTCACCTACCAGAAAGCTTGGAGCCAGATTCTGCTAGACTAATCTCATTCATGATAGAGGTGCTAGGTTAGTAGGTCAGGGCTTCTGACTCTGGATGTCAACGAAGCACTTGACAACGTCTGATGTCGTCCCTGTGGCATTCCTCTGGGCTCTCTCAGGCTTGTCATCCTTGTGTTTTTTGTTTGTTTGTTTGTTTTTTAATCACATTTTTGAAGCTCAGACACCAGAAGGGCTAGCAGACAGACCAGAATCTTAAAAAGATAGGAATGGATGATTATTATGGACCAAATAAAACAAGATGAAATTTTTCAGAGATAAATGTTAAGTCTCGTACTTGAGACCAGAAAGCACGAGCTGAACGAGGTCAACGTGGGAGGGACATGGCTTAATAGCAGCACGTGAGAAAAACTAAAGGGTCACAGGGTGTGGTCACCCTTAGCCTCTGAGTATGAGCAAACAGAAGTAGGTTGTTTGAATGTTGAAAACCGCACTCATCAGGACACATCTGGGGCACTGGCCTCCATTTCAGGCTCTCTGTTTTCTGAGAGACTTTGAAAAACGTAAGAAAAGAAACTCCAGAGGACACTGTCAAGGGATTGTGAGGAGGTCACTGACCCCAGGTCATGAGACTCAGTTGAAGAAAACGAGCGTGGCTGACCTTGGAAATACTGGCCATCTTCAAACCATGAGACCTATCCAAAAAGGAAAAAAGAAGAGAATCAGCTGCCTTGTGTCGTCATAAAAGCATTCCAGCAAAGGCTGGGTGACCAGTTTTCAAAAATATTCTAGAGGAGATTCATGCATTAAACGTGGAACTACATATTAACTAAAGTGTCTCTCAACCCTAAGATTGTGTGGATCAACATAATTATTGCAGTTGATAATGAAGGTTGGGAAAAAAGAGAAAATATTGGCCTAAGCAAATGGTCTTATTTAACTCAATTGAACAAATCTGTATTGGATGCTTAAGTTCAAGGTATTGTTGAAGGTATTATCAATAATTCAGAAGTGATGAAATTGTCAGGTTTGGGTCAGTATCAGCGGGAAGTTAACTTTTTCATTGGCCTTGTTTTATAGTCTAGTCTCCTGAGACAAGATCTAGGGCTTGGGAGCCCAGCACAGCTGTCTTCTTCAGGAAAACCTGGGACGCCATACTATTCATTCTCTGCCACCAGTTCCAGAAGAAGACCGCTCCACGACTCTACAGCACTTGGTGAGTACCTTATGAGCAGCAACACCAATGCTACAAATTTTGTTTCTGGTTTTCCCCTTGCTTCTGGTGGTGCTTTTAATTAGAGGAAACTTGGTTTCTTGAGTATCATGTTGTTGGTGTTGGGATTTAGCTGCATAAAAATAACATATCCATTAGATATTTAATAAATTATCAAAATTTTCACTTTTACACATTCATCATAAATTTTTTATTAAAGATTGGGTCATGAGTAATTTTGGTTGATTATTCTGGTGCCTTCAGTCCCCATGCCATAATTTTAACAAGTTTCAGACAAACAGTTTAATACCCTTGTCTGGTCCTCAATCTAAGCGGAAGTATAGTAAAACCTGTGAGATCCGGAACTTGCCGGGACTGACTTGTCTTTCCTGATCTCGCAGGTTTTCCATCTTTCACCACTTTGACCACTTTTCTGTCCCTCGTTTTAGTGGAAAATGTTTGCATTTTCCTTCTCTGACAAGTTTCCACCTTACACAGGTTCCCGCTTTCACAGGTTTTGCTATAAATAGTGAAAAACGGAACTTAACCAGTTTTACCTCTTATAATAAAAAATTTGTTATATTAAAAAAATTAAAATCTTATTTTTGATTAAAATTTATATAATGCCGAGTTTACAAAGCAGTTGTATATACATTCTGATTTCATCAATACAGTAGCCTCGTTAGTCAGTGGATGTAATCCTAGATTTAACAGAAGACTAAAGCTCAAGAGTGGACATGTTCATAGAGTTTATAGATGGTTTACCCAGGGTAAAGTTTATGTAAGATTTCCTGCCTGTAAGTCCAGTGTTCTTAGCATATTAATTGTTTTTACTCCCTCACTTTTTTACTGCGGTAAAATTTACATGACATGAAGCTAACAAGGGTACAGATCAGTGGCTTTTAGGACGTCCACAGTGTTAGGCAACCGTCCGCTCTGTGTGGTTCCAAAACCTCGCCTCAGAAGAAACACTGTACACGTTAGACGGTCAGCCCCCGGTTTTCCATGGCTTCCTTCTTTTGTGTCTTACACGTAGCCTCACGAGGCCGATCTGTTTTGTGTTGCTCCTTACAGCAAACCTCGGGTAGAGTCTGTTTCCTAATCCTAATGGGAATTTTTGATGATTTCTACCAGCAAATCCTTTATCTGAGAAAATTAAAGTTGTAAAGTGCATTTATATGAAGGACAGGCCTGCTTCTACAATACATATTGCCCACCAAAAGAAAACACGCCATAATTCACTCCACAGATACTTGTTGACTGCCTCTAGTTTATGTATCTACCTTCTGTCAAACCTGTATGTTGGTGAAATATTCCAAGTCTCTGGGTCTAGGGTACGCTTGAGGCATAAAGTGGCCTAATGATGGATCTCCGCGTCCAGCGTAGAGAGCACTGATGAGACGTGGCTGGCTTTCGGTATTGTGAATGATTTAGTGTGTGTCCTGTTGAGTGAGCCCGGATGACTTACACCAGTGTATTTTTTGTTATTAAAGAAATGATAAATTGTAAAATGCCGTTTCTCCATCTCCACTCTTGTTTCCGACCAGATGAGTTAGTCAGGCTAGGGACATTCATTTGAGTGGAGATGTATCAATGTCATTTATGAAAAAAATCTTGTTAGTATGCTGTGTGAGCACTTACTGTGACAAAATGCACTACTATAGACCGATACTCTTATTACTAAAGGTTCACGTAGGGGGAAAATGAACTATTAGAATAACTACAAAAAGGAAAGGGTGGGTTTCATAGAAACCCAGAGTGAAAACTCAGATGTTCTATAAATTAAAGGTTACGTCTTCTTCAGTTAATCAAGAGTCTCCTCCGTGCCAGGTACTGTACACACTACATCTTCACAAAAACTCTCTGAGGTCGTAATACTAACCTCATGGTACCCATGAGGAAACCAAGACTCAGAGAAGCGAAATAATTTAGCCAAGATCACACTATTATATGGTGGCTCAGGAAGGCCCACCTGACTAAATACCACTTAGTGGATTATGATTTCATTCTTCAGTGTTATCCCTCAGTCTTAGCTGCTCTTTCTTGGCATTGCAATTTTTCATAAAATCTCAAGATTAAAAAGACTTTAGAGATCATCTACACCAACCCCAGCATCTTCTGAAGCTGTGTAGATAATTTAGGAAATAAACATTCTGCAAAACAGTAACTATCCAATTTCTGTTTTGCCACAGAATTTATATGAACCTAGTAGTAATGGCTAAAATTTATTATGTGTCACTCTGTGGTAGGCAAGGCCCTGGGTGTCTTTCATGTATTATCTTCATCACAGTAACTCCAGGAGGTGTTATCCCCCTTTTTACATACTGAAGCTCAAAGAGGTTGAGTAACTTGCCCAAGCTCGCACACCGTTTATAGGATGGAGTTGAAGTTTGAACCCAGCCAGATTAGTCTTTTAACTACTATCCTTTGAAGCCTCCCAGAAGTGAACTGTGAATTCCAGGCTCATTATTTTAAATCAGACATTATGCATACAATTTTATAGTGGCAGTTGATGATAGAGATGAAAAATACAACAGAAACATTTCTGTTCGCTCACCTGGGAAGAACTGGCCCAAAGTAAGTAGCAACATCTTCTACAAAATAGAGTGATGGATTCCAAGCTAATAGAAACATCTGAAAATGGCATGATGGCAGTGTCCTCCGACCTCCTGTCTAACTTCACAAGGGGTGAAGGGAGGAGAAACAAGATCAGCATCAGTAGCCCAAAGCTGATTCCTATGAGGTGGATGCCAAACATACCTCCACCCTCCAACCTTTTTACCTTTTTACCAGCCATCCCTTCCACGGCACTCTGTACTTCTCTGCTGAGTTCACTAAATCATTGCAATGGCTACACAGAACTCACAGACCATACTTACAGTTAATAGGGTTTATTAGGGAAGTAACAAGTTATAACTAAGGAACAGGAAGAACCCAGGATACAGTTCTTCAATCAGGACAGCCTCTTCTCAGCTGTGCCTGCCGGCAGGCCTCTCTCTGGCCCTCGGCCCCTCAGCCTAGCCTCTGCCCTGCTCCGACAAGTGTTACAAAGCTCTTTAGCTCCACCAGTAAGTGCCCAGAGGCACATCACTCAGCCAGCAAACCTTTTCCTTGAAGGTGCTTAGCTTTCTCGCTCTGTGGGCTTGGAAGCCAACCACACCGTCTCCTGCCATTCTCTTGGTTCTGCAGCCTCTACTGCTGCTTCTCGCCCTGGGTCACCATCTCAGGTGTTACTGCTCTTTCTGTCTGTCTCCTGGGTCTGGGAGGTTCTCAGCGGAGGGATCCCAGGTCCAAAGGATGTACTTCACTCCTAGCTCTTCTTTCTTGGCAGTAAGATCCCCCCTTGCTGTGGGATTGGCTCTCTTTTAAGCCTAGCAGGATGGCAAAACAGACCAGTCCGCTTGTTAGGGTTCCATATACCTTATTTGGATAGTTCTACTAAATCATTTGGTGGGAGTTATAAGACAATGGTGAGAAATGCCATATAAAAGTGATCCATCACACCTCAGGCCACCCCCTGGCTTTCTAGCCATGGTTCTTTCCTACTTGGAGGATAACTTTCCCCTCCCAGTCATTTTACCAGTCCAAACCAGTCGTTAACCGTTAGACCTTCAGGAGGACAAAGAGTCCTCACAGGGTGGGGTTACTCAGGTACTGGCCATTCAGGTCTGCTGCAGGTGCCCATCTGATCTGGGCACATTCTCCAAAAGTCTTCTCGGCTTCACCCTTTCTGGTGTCAGATAAAATTTAACTGAGAGAAGATTATTCCCTTGCCCTGAACCTTTTGAGGTATCAGCATAGCAGAACCTTTAAGGGATTTAGGTTTGGCCACTGTACTCTGGTCCAGCAGTGCCTTCCCCTTAAGTCGACTCTAATTGCTTCTACAATTACTGTTTTTATAATCACAATTAACCCTGTTAACAATCAACATTCACAACTGAATCATATATCAGCATCTTCCCTTACCCTCTCCTCCCCAGGCTTGTCAGGAAAAGAGGACTCTGTTCAATGGGGATGTCTACTAACCAGCTCCCTTTAACTTCCAACCCTAGAAGGGACTTCTGATGGGCGCTGACTTTTCCTGCCTCAGTGCATCCAAAAACACACCCCTTGCTCAAAATTCAAAAAGCAAAACAGCCATTCCTCCCTTCCTGCGCCCCCAGATCTTTCCTTCAAATGCGAATTTCCTCCTCTCCCAGCAGTTCCGGGTAGGTTTGCATGTCTTTTCAAATGCAAAGTTCACGTCCTGGGCGGGGCTCAGGTTTTTGACCTAAGCTCCCGATATTTTATACACAGGGCTACTGCGTTCAAATCAACAGCCTGTGTTTCTTTGGAGCACATCCCAGTTCCCCTTTTAATGTATCCAATCAAGCATCGGCTGGAGGTGGAGTTACATGCTCTCTGTAATCTATACTACCCAGTGTTCATTTCCATCATACATGTAGGTCTGTTCTATAACACTAGGTAGGAGAAACATTCAAATAAACACATAACCCTTTTTAAAACATTCCAGTTTCATCTTCTGACTCTTGCCATTCATATGCGTATGGCCTTGGCCTCTGCCTGGGTGGAACCAGAGGATCCTGGATCCCTCTCAGTCATCTTGTTTAACCAGCTCGGCTTTTGCCCCGAGCCACTCCAGATGCGGCTTTTCTCCCCTCAGCTGCAGCATAACATCTCTTTTCTTTCAGCTATTACTGGTAACAACAACCAAAGTAACCACCTAAGAATCAAAAGTTTCACTTCCCAGGCCCCTTCGTTCTTTCTCTGACAAAGTCCCATGCTTCCATGAGTCTGGAGCCGTTGCAGCAAATCCCATTCCTAATGCCAGCTGTAAAAATGGCATGGCGGCAATGTCGTCCAACCTCCTCGTTTAACTTAACGGTGTTGTGGGGGAGGGAGGAGAATCTAGATCAGCATGAAGAGCCCAAAGCTGGTTCCTTTGAGGTGGATGCCAGCCCTACCTCCACCCTCCAACCTTTTTACCAATTTTGACACCAGCCGTCCCTCCCAGGGCACTCTCTACTTCTCTGCTGGGTTTGATAATTTGTTGCAATGGCTACACAACTCACAGACCATACTCACAGTTATAGGGTTTATTAGGAAGTAACAAGTTATAATTCAGGATTAGGTAGGACTCAGGATACAGTTCTTCAGTCAGGACAGCCTCTTCTCAGCCATGCCCACAGGTAGGCCTCTCTCTGGCCCTCGGCGCCTCTGCCTGGCCTCTTGCCCTCTGCCTTGGGCAAGTGTTACAAAGCTCTTTAGCTCTACCAGTAGGTGCCCAGAGGCATCTCACTCTGCCAGGAAGCCTCTTGCCCAAAGGTCCTCAGCTTTCTCACTCTGCTTCATGGGCTGGGGAGCTCACCACACCATCTCCTGCCGGTGTCCTGCTTCTGTTGCCTCTCCTGCCCTTTTTCTGCTGCTGCTTCTCACCATCTCCCCTTCTCCGGTGTTGCAGCTATCTCTCTGTCTCCTGGGTCTAGGAGGTTCTCATGCAGGGATCCTGAGTCCAAAGGATGCGTTCCACTGCCAGCTCTTCTTTCTTGATAGTGAGCCCCCACACCCCCTGCTCTGGGATCGGCTCTTTTTAAGCCTAGCAGGATGGTAAAGCTGACCAATCCCCTTGTTAGGGTTCCATATACCTTATTTGCATAGTCCCATCCAGGAGTGGATTATTCAATATGCGGTGTAAGCATGGTGGTTACCTCGCTTACCAGGTCATCTGTAGTGAACAATTTCACATTTTTTCACCACATCAAAGATTCTGCCTCTGGGTATGGCTGGCATCTGTCTGTCTCCCAACCCCATAGCACCTTCCTACAGAGTCAAAGCCTCTTTTCAAATTTACAATCCCTGACAGGGATGGATGACCCAGTAAGTAAGGCAAGCATGAGCTTACTTGTGCTTACTTTCTAATCTGTGGTGAACAATTTCACATGGGTTTCACCACATCAAAAATGTGAAATTGTTCACTACAAATGATCTCATTAGCACAGTAAGCACCGTGCTTCCCATGCCTATTGGATAGTCTGCCCCTGCTGCCACCTCATCCTTCGGTGGGAGTTACAAGACCATGGCGAGAAAGGCCATATAAAAGCGATCCATCGCCCCTCGGAACACTTCCGTTGACTGTTGTATAAGGAGTGTGGCTTTTGGGTAAGAGATGCTGTGTTGGTTGTGAAGAGTTGAGTTGTAGAAAAACCTCACAAAGAACAAACATTTTGCCTTTAAGTTTCACAAATACAGAGTGTGCCAGATGTTGTTTATCTTTGGCATATTTTGTTTTAAGGAAATATAGGCTGCCTCTGGGGTAGGGACAGAGATGCTAGTGAATGCTTTTTCTCCTTTTTATTTGTGTGAAATTTTTCCACATGCTACTTATAAAGTTGCCTTTTTAGCTTTGCAGCCTCTTGGGATATTCACTGCAGAGGATTCCCAGCCCAAATTTAAACGGTTTCATCCTTTCTTATACAACCGCGTGTCTTACTGTGTCGTACAGTTTATGGCCCAGGAAAATATCGTGCTTGCTTAATTGTCATTTTTACAGTTTTTAAAATACGTCAGCTTTCTCATATGTTCTGTCTTCCTAACGTGAACCCCTGAAAGCCGGAATTTAATCCATTGTTCATATGAGATTGGAAAGCTGTGCTTGTTACTTTTATTTTACAATAAATAAAAAAATAAGATGGCCAAGTCTTAAATTTTAAAGCTAAGTAAAATGAAAATACCAAGTGAGGCTGGTTGGGCATTATGAAAATACTCATGCTTTCATTTATATTAATAAATCACTTGTGTATTAGAAATATACTTCCACTATCTGGGTCTTCCTTGGGAGTAAATTTATATTTAAGGATAAATTGTACGATCATTTGTGCTAAAGTTGTAGTCTTAACTACACATCAGTAAAGTAAATATTCTTACAGATACACTGTTGACATCGGGTAAGACCGTGCCCCTAGTTAACAGCGTGTGTAGCGTGTCTCTGCCATGATTCTCAGCGTGTTACAGACACTACGTTTGTGTCTCTGTTAAGGAGTTACATTCTTAATGTGACCTGTTGCACCAAATGCCCCTTCTGCAAATGAAACAGAGATAAATGATGTAAACTGCCTGGTATAAAACCCACTGCCTTCATGTTGATTCCAACTCATAGCGACCCTATGGCAAATAGCAGGAACTTAGCAAAAGAAAACCAAACTGGTTGCCATGGAATTGATTCCGTCTCATAGCCACCCTATAGGACAGAGTAGAACTGCCTCACAGGGTTTCTGAGGAGTGTCTGGTGAATTCGAACTGCCAACCTTTTGGTTAGCAGGGAAACTTAAGAAATGAAACTTCCCTTCCCTCATACATGCTCATTGGTTTGTTGTTCTCATTTTTGTTTTCCTTGTTTGCTATTATCTCCCCAAACGTACGGGCTGTGTGACCATTTCTGAATGCCTCGCTTCATTAGGAGCACTGTTTTGCACTGGAAAACAATGCAGGCACTAGGAGGTAAAATTCTTCCCAGCCCATCTGAAGTCTGATCTTATATAATATACTGATGAAGTGTATTGTTTTCCATGTGCAGATCCTTTGCAAGCAAAGAAAGTCAGAAAGGTGCCTCCTGGTTTGCCTTCTTCTGTAAGTACCCTTTTTAACTTGGTGGTAAACAATCTGATTTCCGGCGTTCAGCATTTATTCGATTGGTGCCAAAGACACACTTTACACAGTAACTGTTTGCTGCTTAACGGAATCATTGATTGAGATGAATCCACATTTAATGTTAGGATTTTAGATTTCTCTGCAGTGATTTGTAGCTTACTCTGTGCTCTTACCGCATGTCCCTGTCATTTGAATTCCCCTCTTGGGAAGAGGACTGGGCTAGTAGCTGTCAAAGAAGATCTCCTATACAGGTCTTTTGATGTTTAATTAGTCATTATGTTGCTGAACAGGATCACAGACAGAGATTAATAGCTGAGAATCTTAGAAATTTACATTTGTAATAATCCCAATGGAGCTGAAGACATTAAGATTCGGAGGACATGTTTGGCGCAGCTTGCCTCAGTAGGACTGAGGTTATTAATATGCATAAATCACCAAGTCAGATGTTCATTGTGAAGCCCTTGTGGATTTTAAAGCCTTCATTAAGCCTTTCCTAACTTCAGCCTAGCATCAGGAAAGCTTTCAAGCAACTAGTTTGTTGATCCCCCTTTGCTCAAAAATGTATCCTTTGAGAATAAAGAGCTTTGATGAAAGAGGGTGGAAAGGTTTGGTGGAAGAGTCATTAATGACCGTGATAATCTATTGCTGTAGATTGTTTTTATTCCTTAAAGAAGTAAAAGTGTTTGTAAATGAACCTGCATCATAAATCTACCCACCGTTTAAAAATCTCTGGTGCAAGGAGGCGAGATTTTTTCCCTCCTTTCCCTTTGCTTAGAACAAATGAGGAGGAGGCTGTTGGACTGAGGCCCCTGTGCCTCGTAGGGTACATCCCTTTGTTGTGTAAATGGTGCTGAGCTTGTATTTGGTGGTGCTTAACACATGGGCGCAGGTGCTGCTGGGTGAGTCACAGCTCATCCTAGCGCAGACTGAGTGGAATATCCGGGCTGGCACGGAGTCATCGAGACAGCGGCATGGGTCTGGGCTTCATTTTTTGAGGCTGAAGGAGAGAGAACATCTTTTTGGTTGTTTACTTCTCTCCTTTCCTGTGTTCCTCCCTGCCTTCTCTTCCGTGTGATACATGAAAACTCGAATTTGAAATCCTCTTTGAAACTCAGTTCCAGATGGATCCGAGTTTTATGCAGCTTAGGGCAGCTGTGCTCTGAACCTGCAGCCTACCTGGAAGGTTGGATTGCAGCTGCAGGCGTTCTTAAAAGCTTTTGCTTGCCTAAGCACTCGGGCCCACTAGAGGCTGAATAGCTGCTTGATAAACAAAATGAACACAATGCCTCAAATCATTATTCCCGAAGACCGGAATTTTTTTTTTTTTTTCAGCAGCAGCTAAAAATAGTTGGGCAATTTACATTTTAACAGTTGTGTGCTGTGCCAGGGTAGGTGGTTCAACAGTATAACAGATGATTTCTGCTAGATTAACAGAAACCATATTAAAACTGACAGAGCTGCTAAAACATGTAACAGTACAATTTTCTTGTAATTTATTACTATAATTCTGTGAGAGTAATAAAAGTTAAATTACATATGAATATGTAGTAGAACCACGCAGGTAAAAAAAAATCAGATTAGTAAATGAAAAATTCATCTGCTTTCTCCGTGCCTGACATGAATTTAAAAAACAATATTCAGTGTTTCATAGTTCTTTCACTTTTAAAGTGAAGAAAAAGAAAAGAGCAAAATGGTCAGAGCAGCCTGGAAAGAGAATAGACACGGGGGGTCATCGGTGTTCCTTACCATTGTAATCATAACGGCGTTCACTACTTGGAGGTAACCCGTTAACCCGTTGCCATCTGGTCGATTCCAACTCATAGTGAACCTATAGGACAGAGTAGAACTACCCCTATAGGGTTTCTAAGGCTGTAAATGTTTACGGAAGCAGACTGCCACATTTTTCTCCCGTGGAGCAGCTGGTGGGTTCGAACCACTGACCTTTAGGTTAACAGTCAGGCACTTAACCGCTGTGCCACCAGGGCTCCATACTTGGAGCTAATGTTCTATGTTGTCTCAGATGTCCAGATGAGCCACAGAGAAAGGGAAAGGCGCTGAATCCCGGCTAAACTTTGATTTCTTTGAGAACCACTAGGAAATTTTGCAAGCCTCCTTGTATATTATATTTTACTGGCTAAGTTAGTTTTGGATTCATTAGGTATTTAAACAGGATAGAATTCAGAGTCTTCAGTTCTGTGTTTAACATCTGCATCAAACATGGTCATACTGCTTTGAAACCAATACAGGTGAAAATAGTATTTAAAACATATTAAATGTCATTAAAAATATGTAAATAGTAAATGCATTTTAATTGATTGAAAGTATATTTTAAGTTAAATCTTGGATTGATACTGCAAATTCTTAAGAGGAAAAAAAAACTTAAAAAACAAATACTTTGATAAATAATAGCAAAATAATTCACTTCCGAGAGCACTTGTAGTTACACTGCTTACCTTCTCAATGTCTGAAGTTAAACTGTAGGTTTCTATTTAAATGCTTTGTTGAAAAGTATACACTTTACAGAACTTTTGACAGTGTGGATTATAAAAAGTGGGGCATAAAAATGAAAATAGACTATATATATCTTATTTCATGATAATTTGAATATTATTCTTCCTAAACCAAACTAGAAACTTGACGGTAATATCTCATTTCACAGTTTGATGCCTGTTTGATCTATCTTTAATTTACCTTTACTAAAGAAACCGTAAAAGAGCTAAGTGAAACTGCTACAAAAAAATAATAGGGTTACTTAACATGCAAAGCGCTGACAATCTGTATAATTTACCATAGAGCATTGGTTAGAGACCCTTTTTTTTTTTTTTTTTTTTTGTAAACCATGATATATAAAAGACATCTTTAAAGTGTTAAAAAGCAAAGATGTCGCCTTGAAGACTAAGGTCGCCTGACCCAAGCCATAGTGTTTTAATTCACCTCATATGCATGTGAAAGCTGGACAATGAATAAGGAAGACTGGAGAAGAATTGATGCCTTTGAATTATGACATTGGCGAAGAATATTGAATATACCATGGACTGCCAAAAGAATGAACAAATCTGTCTTGGAAGAAGTACAACTGGAATGCTCCTTAGAAGCAAGAATGGCAAGACTACATCTCACATATTTTAGACATATTATCAGGGGGGATCAGTCCCTGGAGAAAGACATCACGCTTGGTAAAGTAGAGGATCAGCGAAAAAAAGGAAGACCGTCAATGAGATGGACTGACACAGTGGCTGCAATAATGGGCTCAAGCATAACAGCGATTGTGAAGATGGCGTAGGACTGGGCAGTGTTTTGTTCTGTCATACATAGGGTCTCTCTGAGCTGTAACCGACTTGACAGCACCTAACAACAACATGATATATAAACAAGTGTAAGTACAAACCTCAGATCCTGTGTTTCTCCACAGAACAAGTGAATGCTGACTTATGTCTATGGGTGAGGGTATGTTGAACATCATCAGAGCAGCATGGTCAGTGAGACTAAGGGAATGGTCTGCTCAGATCTTCCTGGCTCAGTTACTGCTTGATTGTATGACCTTGAACTAGTCAGCCTTTCAGCTTCTTTTCAGGTCCAAAATGCTATGTACTGATGGTTTTAAAACTCATGTGCTTAGTACGTAACTGGAAAGCATAGTAAGCATAACTTCCTTCCTCCTGATGAAGCAGTGGTGTTCTTAAGCACACAGGATCCTCTACTTGCTTCTCTAGACAGGCCGAAGTATGGGACAGAGTGGACTTGTTTAGCAACCACAGTAGAATGATGCTGTTGTTGTTGTTAGGTGCTGTCAAGTCGATTCAGACTCAGAGCAACCCTGTGTACAACAAAACGAAACACTGCCCAGTCCTGCACCATCCTCATGATCGTTGTTATGTTTGAGCCCATTGTTGCAACCACTGTGTCGGTCCATCTCGTTGAGGGTCTTCCTCTTCTTCGCTGACCATGATGTCCTTCTAAGCATGATGTCCTTCTCCAGAGACTGGTCCCTCCTGATAACATGTCTAAAGTATGTGAGACAAAGTCTTGCCATTCTTGCTTCCAAGAAGCACTCTGGCTGTACCTTTTCCCAAGTCAGATTTGTTTGTTCTTCTGGAAGTCTATGGTATATTCAATATTCTTCGCCAGCACCATAACTCAAAGGCGTCAGTTCTTCTTCAGTCTTCCTTATTCATTGCCCAGCTTTTGCACGCATATGAGGCGATTTGAAAATGCTGTGGCTTGAGTCAGGCGCACCTCAGTCCCTAAAGTGATATCTTTGCTTTTTAACACCTTAAAGAGGTCTTTTGCAGGACATTAAGTATTCAAACATACACCATCAATGCCTTCAAGGAAGTTACCATCTAGTATGAGAATCAGGCATACAGATAATTATGTTGCAGTGAAGCAGATAAAGTGTGTTGCAGCTGCTCTCGTAACACAGGGTAAGTAGAACTACCCCTGCCTTGGGAAGTACCAGTGGCTTCAGGAGGCATTGACTTTGGGCCGTGTCTGCAAAGATGAGTGGCAGTTCATGTTAGAGAAGAGGGGGAACAGACCAGACAGGCAGAAAGCTTGGGGTATAAAAAATAAACGCATATTCAGGCCACAGTCGGAAGTACAGCATTACTTTCGGGTTCCTTTCTATACCAAATGCGACCTCTGTAGTTTTCCTGTAGCAGACCCACTCTCCTGTCCAGGAGGGTGATTGAAGAATGCATAAGAGCAGTCCAGATCTGAAAAGGGGTAAACTGTCATAGCAGTCTGTGGATAAAGGCTCCAGTGTCTTGGGCAGTAGATGATCACAGACGTGTAATTGTTAAGGTTGTCTGGGAGTCTTTCCAAAGGCATGGACAGTACTTTGACTTTACAGGGTGTTTTCTTTCCTTTATGGGGTTCCTGAGCCTCTCCTCCGTTTCTCTAACCACCAGTTCTAATCTTCGTTCTTTACATGTATGTACACCAGCTGTTTTTCGTCTGTATCAGATTGTAACCAAGAT